TTTTTCTATTTTTCCTTTTCAACGCTATGTAAAAATACGTAAGTGTACCAAATTGAAGCTCTTTATGTCAAAAGATGTGGCCGCTACGGGGGTACATAGTCATTTTTAGTAAAAATTCATAGTATATGAATGCCAAAACCATTAAAAAAAATACGAGCTGAATTCTCGGTGATGATCCTAAAGTACACCCATCATAGGCAACCTAGGTCTTTAGGTAAAAAGTAACCATGGATTATTGTGTGGTTGTCAGTTCTGAATGTGCATAAAAAATTTCAGTACTCTAGGACATCAGCAAGTCGGTTAAATTAAATTTTAAAATTTCATATTTTGACTTTTGCAAAACAAATTGTTTATAACAATGACACTGATGTTCAAAAAATTATTTAACCATAAAAGTCTTGTTCAACATAAAAAAATACATAAGGATCACTTATCTAGACCCTTTGAAATATAAAATGTTTTAAGAAATCTATTTTAATTAGTATAGTAAAACTTTAAACGAGTTTTTCTCGAAAAGTTGATTTTAGTCGATCGTTTTCTCAGACCCTGTCACATATGTAGCACGTAATATTAATGTAATATTACAAAAAAGTCAAACTCCATTTAAAAATATTTGACTGATTAATTATTATCTTTTTTTGCTTTATCATAAAAAGTTTTAAAATTTTATGTATTTCAAATAAGCGTGTAATATTAACCCGTAAGATTAACATGAGGCAAATATTTTAATATGACTGTAATAGTAACCTTACAGGAAGCTTACAACAACCTTACCGTATAAGCTTATCACAACCTTACCATGTAAACTTACCACGACCTTATTGTGTAAGCTTACCCTAGCTTTACTGTGTAAACTTATTGTAATGGCGGAAGTTTTAAGATGACCTCAAGTTTACTGTAGACTTACATGGTAACCTTACAAACCCTACAGATATCCTTACAGTAACTTCACAGCAAGAAGTCATGCTATGTGGGAGAAGAAAAACACGCGCGTTTACGCGCGTTTGTTTTAGCTAGTTTTATATAATTTTCAATTTACCGAATAATCATTTCTCATTATAATTATTGTAGCAAACGAGTATTTTTATAATTCTTATTTTTCCAAATAAAAGTTTATACTATTTTTGATTTTACATAATTACCAGTTTTTATATTTTTTTTATTTATATTAAAATTTATATTTTTTCTATTTTTGAAAGTTACGATTTGCTATTTTATATAATTTTTACTTTACCGAATTGCCATTTCACATAATTTTTAAATTTTCTAATTATTATTTTTTCGAATTTTAATTTTAACGAATTATTAATATTAGAATTATTTCTTTTGCGAATTACCATTTAACATAATCTTAATTTTCCCTAATATTTATTTATTCTAATCTCCATTTTCTCGAATCATTATATGCTATAATCAGAATTTTCAGAATCTCCATTTGCTCTAACATACTTCCGGTCAATTTCAGTACTGTAGTTTCCCATCTACATTAATTTCTGGAATATATCCACGCCAGGCCATCGCTTGTCGGTATGGTAGGGTGCGTCACAAAAAGTGGCGCAAAATTTAAAATGAGATTTTACTATTACTACTATTTTTAATAAAATTACATTATAAATACAGGTAAAAATTACAAATTAATCGTAAAATTAAGATTTAAGGAGAGTAATGTATTTCCGAATTATAATTTTAACAAATTATTAATATTACAATTATTTCGAATTCAAAAAATTATTATCAATTACTTTCGGATAAAACGATTTTCGAGAAATTAAAAATTCGAAAAAACAAATTTGGGGTTTAGTCATGCGCCTCGAATTTACCTCTTTTTACGGTAATTAAAATAAAATATTATTATAGTGATTGACATGTTATGAGGTGATTTTGTACTAATAATACATATCTACAAGGTAATTGGCACATAAAATGTTTATTTATAATATTTTAATTTTAAAATAGTTCCATTTCCATTTGAAAAGTGTAAATTATTCTATTCAAATAAACTATTCCTGAAAACCTTTATATTATTTGGATAGAATTATTTGCCTAAAATTGCTACTATATTAAAATATTATCTTCTTCAAAATAAAAATATCCATCTTTTAGCTGCAAACATAAAACCCACATAAAAGAATTATATACTAATAATTCTTCACGAAGAACTTTATACATTATATTTTAAAAGTGTAAATTATAAACTATCCCTAAAAAGCTATATATTATTTGAATAGAATTATTTACACTAGTTTAAATGTAAAACGTACAGTTTTTACAACTTGAATGAACTTTTTTCATTATCTTTCTTTGGTTTCGTTTTCGTAAAATTGCTACCATATTAATATATTCTCTTCATCAAAATAAAAATATCCATCTTTTAGATGCAAACACAATCCTTAATGAAATACTTTTTTAACTTGAGAATCCTTTCGACATACGGGACACTTGTTTCTACATCTAGGTGACTGTTGATATATCACAACGCATGTGATGCAAATAATGAAGTGGCAATAAGGGAGAAAAATGTGTGTTGGTTCTACTGATTTGCAAATGCAGCACAATTCCTCCGCTGAATCATTGTGTTCACTCCCTTCAGTCAGTTCCATTACTTCTCCATTTCCTGTTAAATTTTTTAAAAAATTGTTATAAAATATTGGCAAAAATAATAAGCATATTCTACTAACTAAAAATGCTTCAGTTAAATTTATGCGACATTTTAAATATTACAAAATATTTGTTAAAATTAAATATATTGAATTTACCTAAAATTAAGTTAGAATGGTAATTAATAGTTAATTAATATTACGCAATTTGTTTTTCAATTCAAATAGTAATGGCGCAGCCAATTAGTAAATAAGTCTAACATTTTTGTAAATACAGTACTTTGTACGACAGTGCTTTATTCCGGTATTGCCCGTGTAAATAAATAAATAAGTAAATAAATATAATTATGTTACATATTATAAACTATATATTAGGATCGTCCAAAAAAGTCGACATTCGAAAATTGTTTGTTTTTGTTAGGCAAAAAAATATCATTTTATGTGTAATTAAATTATAAATTTGACACTCCGACCACGAGAGAAATATGTAGTAAAAATTAAGTTTAGTTCCGATAAATGTTAACTTTGCAAAGTAAAACTTGTAGAAAACTTTCAGAACAATGTACTCTAAATATTTAAATAGTTTAAAAATTTTTTTAAAATAATTTGGATTTTTTATCATAAAGGAAAAGGAAAATTTGAATTTTTTATCCCAAACTTACCCCAGTTCAAGGTACATAGTTATAACAGTAAAATGATCTTTTATACCTGGATCGTCGCTCTACTCTTCAAAAGTTTCATCTTTAGCACTTTTATCTTCAGCCCTTTCATCTTCAGTATCAGAACTGCTGCTTTCCGATAGATATTCATGTATGCAGTTCAATAGTAAAAGGCGTCAATAAAAAAATTAAAATTAGCTATTAAAATTTATTCATTAGCTTATCGATCGATAATTTATTTTACTTTTTTAGTAATTTTTGTTTCTTACCCGGTTGCTCATTTTCTTCTCGAGAGTGAAAGGCGATATGGGAGAATAATGGTTCGACCATTATGTAGCCTGCGTTTTCCAAAAACACTGTCAATGAAAGTCGTCCTGTTGGTGGAAGTTTTTGCCAAGTTCTTTGTAGATTTGTCTTTTTCGAGAGATTTAACATTTTAAAAGAGCCTTGTTCAGTGTCATCCCCGTTCACACTGCACCAGGCTTTGCTTTGTAAATTTAATATCATATCTAAAAATAACATAGCTGTGTATTAAGCATTACTTTTTTTAAAGTGATTTATTCACTTAGTAAAAGAATAAAAAAATTACTATAATATACTATAATATACAGTTTTAAAAAAATTATTTTGCACTTTGACATCAAATGTTTTAACGAAATCTACGATCTATGATAACAATATAAGAGCAGATGATACTAAAGTCGGCGCAGAAAGCCCGCCTTCTTAAGTTTTTTGTAACTTTAAGAGACAATAATTCGAATAAAAAAACGTGTGTCGTTTTTTTTATTCTGTTGCCTCCGTTTTGGAAGCGAAACCCTTTTTTAGATGTTTTTTCTTCATATGACACTTTACTCTGTCTCATTAAATTTTTTACAATTCGTAAGCATTTTTTGCGAACTACTTTTTGCATTTAAAGTGTAAAAAGCATGTTATTAAAAATTAAAAAATACAGCTTTTTAGGGATTTGAACGATAGCTGTACCTTTACTTAAACTCGATATGGCAAGGTTGTCTTTGATTGTTTATAATAGCTATAATAATAATTATTTTTTAAAAATAACTGCTTCTCCGTATTAAGTAAATATTAAAAAACTGCACTATATATATATATATATATATAGTTATTTGATATTGTTTTCAAAATTATTAAGCATGTTACAATGAGTGCAAGTAAGGTTAAGGGAAATATTAGGAATTCTTTCTGACACTGTTTTACTTTTTAATTGATAACTTCTAGAAAATAATTTAGTCTGAAACAAATTATATACCGCTGCCCGCAGAAATAAATAACAAATGCATCAAAAAACTTATTTCAATTTTGTGCCATTGTTTTTGTTCTAACTATTTTTTCTCAAAGTCAAAGAAAACCCTAGGGACGCGGACTTTCTGTGCCAACTTTTTAATTACAGATAATATACAATATTTTTAATTTTTTAACCAAAAATTTATTGACAAGATTATATATTTTATATATTTTCTTTACAGTGTATTAGTCCTGAAATTTTTTATTCCAAGGGAAATAATTTATATTTTTATTGTGACTGTTTTAATAATAATCATTAAAAATAGGAAGTTGAAACAAAAACAGAATTTTTACTATTTTTAAGTAGCAAAATAATTGAGGCGCGAGAGCAAGTAAACTACACGCAAGCATAGAGACCTGCCGAGAACATTTGACAACATCGCGCGCGGAACATTTCTTTTCGTTGGAGAAAGGTAGAACGTTGCTTCACTCTCTACTGAAACGCGCTGCTGTACATGTCGGTACTACTGTCGGTAGTAGACGTTGGAGAAAATATTACATTTTGTGAAGAACACCTTCAAGTCCAATGTAATATTCGTTTTTTGGTGATCGTTTGAATATATATTTCTTAAAATGGATAATCAAGTGCCTGGACCCTCATCAACATTAAGGACATTTATTAATCACGTGTATAACGATTTTGAATACGTAGTTCACAGCAGTGATAATGACAAAACGTGAGTATTTTACTTTATTGTAATGATTGACTATTTTATATATTATATACACTACGTCCATAAATTTTTAGTCAATTTGATACATTATTTTTAAAGTAAATTGAAAAAATCTATTTTGAAGTAGCGAAAAAAAATTTGCGTCTCATTGATGCTCAGTCTCCCCTACTTGTTAAGGACTATTCTCTTTAAGATAATAGATTTTTTTTCTTCCTGCGTTACAGTTCTTTTGTTTGTAAGGATTACAAATCAGGCACTTGCAGAGGTAAAGGATTTATGAAGGCTGGTATTTTTACTTTGAAAAAAAGACACACACACTACCCTGACCTAAAAAATCTTAGGGAAAAAGAATTTAAAATGGCATTATATAATGCTGTGACTACAAGCACAGAAACTTTTAGGAAATGCTACGATAAAGTTCGTCCTTCGTAAGTATTTTTCAATGAAATGATAAAATTATTAAATTAAGTCATGAAATATTTCCAGCTTTTATAAAAATTTTTATTTGCCTCCTATATGTGAAGGGGTCTAAGAAAACGGTGCTATCATCTAAAAAAATCGAATTTTTGAAATTGATAAATTCTTAAAATTTAAAGCCTAGAAAATTTATTGCAAACATTTTCAAGAAAAAACTTTTTTTGGTCGATAGTTTTCTCAGACCCGTTCACATATAGACGCTTCAAATTATTTTTCAAATTACTGAAATGTCCTTTTCTACTTTAAGTACAATTTGTAAAATTAATGAAACCAATTTAATTAATAAAAATATTTAAGTAAATAAATTAAATTAATAAAAACTGTGATTTTATTGTACTTTGCAGTCATCACGAAGCCTCTATTACCTTGCCTTTCGCAAGTTGTGAAAACCCGATGTATAAGTGGCGTAAAAGAATAAGCCCACCAAGTCCACCACCTTTTAGAACACTTGATGATTATTGCAATACATTAAATTCGGATGAATGGAAGCACATAAAGGAGGATCTCTTAATGTTTCCTCGGTATCTGGAGAAAACTCAGGAACGTCCGTCATTTATAAAGATATCGACTGTGCAAACCAAGTTTACAGAAATGGAAACATCTATACTTATGCAACGTTTAAAGTGGTGCCTAGAGCAGCAGGTGAATATCAACTTCTTACTTTAATGACTGAAAAATTTGGAAATGTAAGTTTTACTTATTTTATTATTAGAAGACTTTGACAAAGAAACTAGTATTTTTCAAAATTATCGTTTAAAATCTCATAACTTTCGCAATTTTCAACCTTTTTAATTGCTTCTGGGCTTATTCTTTTCCATTTTTTATACTCTTTTTAAAAAAATATGAAAATCCAAAAATGTTGATAAACAATGTAAACGATTTTATAAAAAAGAAAATTTTTTTTTTAAATTAAGGTACTTATATGTTCTAAATACTACAAAAATCCCATTGGGTGTTTTTTTGTTTTTAAGGAGAAAATAAATATCTTACTTTTTTAAAAAGAACAAATTTCTTTATCAAAATGCCATACATATTTTTCATCTTCCAAATAGTGTTGTTTATAATAAACTATATTCTGGTTTCTTTACTAAATATGAGAACACTTAATTTGAAAAAATTAGAATGTTGTAAATAAACTTATCAATGCAGATAAATATCAAGTGAAAAAATTTTTTGTCAAAGGAATTATTACAATTTTTTAAATAAATTCTTGTGGCTACCCTGGTTTGAGAATAATTTTAGTTTTAATTCAAATGTAAGCTTTTAGTGCTGTAGCGTTCTAAAAAAAATTAAAATTAATTTTTTGCTAACAAAAATATAAAAACTACCAAACAGAAATTATATGTACAACTTTTTAGTCTACCAATTCAGAGAGACATGCTTTTTTCGAAAACAATTAATTTTAAAAATTAAATATAATAGCTATTTATCAACATTCGTGTTAACGAGGTTTTACTGTACTTAAATGTTTTTGTTATTGTTTTAATAATTAGGGTATTCCATTTGCTTGGGCCATCATGGAACAAAAAACAGCAGCAGCATATAAGAAGGTTTCTCAAGAAATAAAAAGGTTATTGCCTGGGTTCAATATTATCGAAGCAATGTGTGATTTTGAGAGTGCATTAAAAAAGGCATTGCGCCAATCCTTTCCAGGAATAATTTTACATGGATGTCTTTTCCATTATAAACAAGTAAGAAATTTTCATTAGTTGTAACTGAGTTAGTTTATCATTAGAATACTAATTAAAACTATTTCTACTTTCAGGCCAACATCAGGAAAACTAAGAATTTACGTTTGCATCAATTGCTAAAAAAGAATCCAGAAGCTCGTCACGCTCTTCATTTGATTATTGCTCTCCTATTACTTCCAGCAGGTCAAATATAGAGGTTATATATTGTGTGAGCGATTCCACGTCAGATTTTAATTAAAATTTTGAATTAAATCAAATTTTATGGCCAAATTTTTGAGTTTTCAATTTACAAAATTTTTATTTTTAAAAGTAAACCTATTTTCGAATGTAGCCAAAATTTTCCCAGAGAGGAAAAGTTTCAGTTTGTCCTCAAGTTTTAAATAGTGTTGACAAAAAAATATTTTAATAATTTTTATTAAAAAATAACAATTTTATAAACAAATTAATTTTTTTTAATTTTCCAAAATTTTTTTCGTTACTTATACTTAAAAATGATAAAAACAGTTTGCAAAAAGTTTTAGAGTGAACCTGATGAAAAGAATTTTGTTAAAAAAAGTTTTTTAAATCTTTTTCTTTATTCTTCAAATCAAAAAGTTTTTCTAGTCGCTAGGATCTTTCACTTTACTCATATAAAAGTAAACTGGAATAAATTCCGATTTGAAAAATAAAAATATCAATTAAAAAATTTTTTTTAAACAAATTGTTTTATCAGGTACTCTAAAACTTCTTGCAAACTATTTTTACTATTTTTAAATATGTAATATAAAAAAGTAAATTTGAAAAAACTAGCCCAAATTTAAAAAAACTTAATGCTTTTTATAAAAAATTGTTATTTTTTGGTTATAAATTGTCGAAATATTTTTTGTCGATAAGATCGTTCACTTTTTTTACTCATATAGAAGGAAATTAAACTAAATTTTTATTTAAAAAATAAAAAAAAATTCGAAACACAAAAATTTGTCTGTTATAATTAAAAATTATTTACTTTAAATTGCTCTTTTTAATATTTCATTTCAACTAATTAATTATATTAATAGTAAATAAGTAAACTAATTATTATTGTTACTAAATTATAATCAATGAAATCATTACCCTGGGGTCATCAGTGAGATGAGAAAAATTTTTCCAGAGAAAAAATGTTATAAAAAAAACAAATATTTTTAGTTAAAAATTTTTCTAAATGATCTTCAGAAGTAACATTAACACAAGCAGCAACTATCAACAAAAATTAAGAGTCACTAAAAAATTATTTCATTGGACAAAATTATTGTTTAAAAATTAGAGCAAAAAACACTGGGGTGTCATTTGAACCTCACTACAGCAGCTTACGGTTGAAAATATTTAAAAGAATAGAAACATATTTTAAGAACGGAAAAAATATTTTTGATCGGATATAAAATGTGTAAAATCTTTGTTACAGAAAAACTTGTGAAATATCAAGAGCATTTCAGACTTGATTTGGAATCTCTTCGACAAGGCCGAAGGATTTGTAGGCTACCTAAATGTGAAGTAGTTGTGAAAGACATTTTGATCTCTGAAGCTTGGGCGCGATTGCATCAACCAGGCGGCCTCACAACGCGACAATTTTTGGAAGAATGTGTTCAAATTTTTAGACTAGATGATGACATGTGAACGCAAGTGTCAGATATGTCGAAAATTTTTATTTTTTTCAACGCAAATGAACTTTACATAGAAAAATTCTACTCGCGTAGAAACTCTGCACATTACACTTAAACAAGTGTAACTAATTATACACAAAAAATCTATGTCCGTTAAATTTAGATAAAATAATGTTTAATTTAATGTAATTGATTTTGCACAGTTACTTAGTACTTCAAGAAATTCTACTTAAACAAGTTGTAAATTCAGATGTTCATTACATGAACATTTTGCTTCCTCTTTACGATCAGCAAAAAAATTTGCTTCCTCGTGGAGAAAGCAAAATTTTATTGTCAAAACGTGATTTTGATTTTTTAACTTTCATTAATTCTTTAAATTTACCTCAAATGTATACTTTATATATATCAATCGATTCGTCTTGACGTAAGTAATACAATTATTTCAAATATAAACTTCAATTTAAAAAAACACAAAATTTTATAGCCAAAATGTGAATTTTTGATTTTCTAACTTTCATTAATTCTTTAAATTTACCTCAAATGTATACTTTATATATATCAATCGATTTGTCTTGACGTAAGGAATGCGATTTTATTATATATAACCTTAAATTTGTCTATTTAAAAATTTTTTCGATTAAAAAAAAATTTTTGGAAAAAAGACGATAAAATTTTTTTTTTGGGTATTTTTCAAAATCCTTTGGTCAGATTTGAGATATTAATATGATAAATGAGCCTACTAAATTTTATCTAAATCCATTAAAACCTGTTAAAGTTATCTTCTAAACAAAAAAAGGATCCACACACACACACACATACATCCGGACAATTGATCAGGATCTCATATAACATGTTTCTATAAAGAAAAAAATTTGTTTCCGACACTTTTAAAAGTTTTATAAACGAAAGGACTACAAAGCTTCCTCTACGAGGAAGCAAAAAATATTTTAATCAACGTTAATTTCTAATTCTACACAAGTAAATTAAGTAATGTAAAACTTAACACGATAATACAATTCTGTGTTTAGCAGAACACAGCTTTTCTATTTTACAAATCTGTTTCACAATTATATCAGTTAGAGAAAACATAACTTAATTACTTAAACACTCGTTTAAAACAAAGTGTATTGTTTTAGAATCTTCTGGTAAGGAATTTAATTACATTAAATTAACGATTACAATATTTTTTGTGTATAATAAAATTGTGACGAAAATTTTTCGCATATAATTCTTTTATGTGGGTTTTATGTTTTTAGTTCGTATTTTGCGTAGAATAGTAACCTCTTCATTTTGTTAACACTGTGTGGGAATCCAAGTTGTGCTATACGTTACTGCGATTTAAAGTATGAGTAGGGAAAGAATGGTATAAGAGTGGGAGTATCACAGGATTTTTCGCGGGACAATTTATGAAATCGCTAGTGTGGTCAAGGCACCCAAACCCATTGTGTAAAGGGGTTACGGGTCACTTACTATTATAATTTGGTATAGACGCGCCAAGCGCGGTCAAATAAGTTTCTCGCTACGCCCTATTGGGGTAAGTGTGGAGTGATTTTAATTTTCTTACTAATAATCTTTGAAGTGAAATTGTAATATAAATGTGTAATTATCACCAATTTAGCGGTTGGTGAACAACCTCGTTATCACCGTGTGAGTTGCACTGCGTGAGGCTTCTTCGTCATTTAAAATCTATTTTGTTGGAACTACAACCGCTGAAATAAAGCTTATCTCTCGAGCCACCGTGACGACAACAAATTATTTTTGTGAATATCCAGAGGATTAAAAATTGAGAGCAATAAAATTTAGGAGCAAGTCGTACGAGCACGCCTTGCATTCTGCACGAAGCAGCTCCTCAGCCGTTCTTCGCCACGTGGCCACTATATATTTTAAGTTTTCTTTTCGAAAACTCTGACTGTTGCCTTTTGGGTAATATAAATTAAATTCGACATTCAGCGGTGAGTTTCGTTGTTAATAACTCTTTTAGCCTCATAAATTTGAAACTTTATATCCGAATCTACTTGACCACACATTTCATTTTATTTCTATTGTATTCGTTTTAATTTTTACTATCACATTTGACGCACTATATCCAAGAGATACCACGAAATTAAATTTTATTGTAAATAACGATTTTTAATTATAAAAGGTCCTGTCTTTTCTCAGATGATGTGAATGTACTTGTGGAGGGGCAATATTAAAACCTTTTTTCGAATCGATCGTGCGATAAATTGTACATTCTTTTATATTAATAAATTGTTTTTTCTGATATCGCAATATTTAGGACAAATAAAATTCTTTACAACTGATGTTTTTTCATGTGTTTCAGCGTATGTCGAAAGGGCTCTAAAATTCAAAACGTTTTTCTATAAGGCTCACAGTCACTTAAGTTCTGATCCAAATTATGATCAATATTAATTTATTATACGTTTCTTATTTTTAACTAAATATTTTAGTCAAAAGACTGTATTTGCAGCTAAAAGATGGATATTTTTATTTTGAAGAAGATAATATTTTAATATGGTAGCAATTTTACGCAAATAATTCTATCCAAATAATATAAAGGTTTTCAGGTATAGTTCATTTGAATAGAATAATTTACACTTTCCAAATGGAAATGTAATTATTTGAAAATTATAATATTATAAATAAACATTTTATGTGCCAATTAGCTTGTAGATATGTATTAATAGTACAAAATCACCTCATAACATGTCAATCACTATAATAATATTTTATTTTAATTACCGTAAAAAGAGGTAAATTCGAGGCGCATGACTAAACCCCAAATTTGTTTTTTCGAATTTTTAATTTCTCGAAAATCGTTTTATCCGAAAGGAATTAATAATAATTTTTTGAATTCGAAATAATTGTAATATTAATAATTTGTTAAAATTATAATTCGGAAAAATAATAATTAGAAAATTTAGAGACTATATGAAATGTCAATTCGGTAACAAAAAATTATATAAAATAGCAAATCGCAACTTTTAAAAATAGAAAAAATATAAATTTGATAAATTACATTTTAAAACAAATAATTGTTAGAAAAAATATTTATTATACAATATGGTGATTCGAAGAAAAAAAAATTATAAAAAATGGCAATTATGTAAAATCAAAAATAGTATAAACTTTTATTTGGAAAAATAAAAATTATAAAATATACTAATTCGCTATAATATTAATTATGAGAAATGATTATTCGAAAAAATATTTATTATACAAAATGGTAGGGTCAGTTGTGGTAAATGGGGACAAGAGGTTTTGGAGCTTAATTTATAGTTTTAAAATTAAGTTCAACGTCAATAATTTAACCTCAGATCACCTGTAAGAGGTTTTGAGTATTGACAATTTTTTATCTTGATAATTGTCAGCAAGATAATTCAAGTTATCTCTCAATGCATAAAAACTTGGAAATCAAAGTCAAACTTTTTCAGTATTTTGTCGAGCATTTAAAAGAAAACAGACTTAAAAATCATACCAAATTTTTTTCTTATTCCTTATGACTCCTATAATATAAATTCATTTGAATTTTTGAATTTTGTCAATTTGGTTAATAATGACAATCTGTCCCCATTTACCCTGAGTTTTCAAATTTTTGGGGTAAATGGGGACAGCTTGTCATTATTAACTAAATTATCAAAAATCAAAAATTCAAGTGTATTTCTGTTATGAGAGTCATAAGGAATAAAAAAAAAATTTGGTATGATTTTTAAGTCTGCTTTTTTTCAAATGCAAGACAAAATACTGAAATAAAAAAAAATAAAAAAAAATTCAATTGGTTCAACTATTATATATGGGCAAATCCACGAAACTTTTTACTTTCAAAAAAAGAAAATTTTCTTTTTTAATTTGCAGGCACATTGATATCACATTGTATACACGTTTAAGTACATTTTAGCACTACAAATTCATATGCGTGATTCATTTTTAGCTCACGCCGTCAATGTTTATCTCTTTAAACTCTTTAATGTTAATAAATTACATATAAAATTGAAAAATTCAACTTTTTTTATTTTTGATATCGGAGTGGTTTCCAAAGTATTTTCGTCCTCTGAACACGATTCTGTAACCCAAATTTCCTTAGCACGTCAGGATTTTGAGAAAAGATGGGGTAAAGACTCCAAAAAAGTGTTTTCAGCATATTCTTAACTTCATAAAATTTGTTTCACTCAAAATACTTAAGCGGCGTTTTTGTGTTCAAATATATGTATGAAAATGTTTCGATCACACCATAGATTGACCTGTTTAAAGCAAAAATGCAGTTGTGCTTTCAAAAATGTATAAATTTAAATAAAATCACGATTTTCATTATCATCTTCTAATTGCTCCTACAGGAGTACATTTAGAGGCACATCAATGAAAAAGGTCTTAAAATTTTCGTTTTTTCATTCTCTATTCAGAAAACCATTGAACTTTTATTTTCATTGAACGCCGCACAAGATATTTGTTTAAGAAGATGTTTAATTAAATTGTCTCAAAAAGTGGCGTCACTCAATCAACCCTTCATATCTTTATTAACATTGAGGGCACACTAATGAGATAGTGAAAAAATTTTGACAAAATATGTCTGTTAGATATTTCCTTTGCAGCTGAAGCGATGTTTTACATGCCGCAAAAGAAAAGTCGTTAAGAATGTAAACTTTTCTGACGGTGTCACATGAAATTTCAGTGTTTTTTCACTTTTTAACCTATAAAACTAATTGAAAAATTAATATTTTGTTCTAATATTGTACAGAAATGTTACTTTGTATATAATTTATCAAGAAAAAATTATATATTAAGTTTTAATTAAAAATAATATAGACTTTTAAGTGTTTGATTCAGGTGTCATAAAAGTTAAATGTTTCGTGGATTTGCCCATATCTACTATGAATTTTTTTCAAATTTTTCCATCCCTTAATACAGTAATATACTTAAGGGAGTTTTTTTCTTAAATCTTTCTTAGAAATTATGCTGTCCTCATTTACCCACAATTTTATGAAATTTTCTAAATCTTGGGGTAAATGGGGACAGTCAGTTTTATGCGTTTACAGCTTATCTAAATTTTTTTCTGCTGCGTAAAATTATTCCTGGGAATGTAAATAACAACTTAAAAAAAATAAACCCGCAAATATTACCTTTAAAAGGATGAAACTTACGTAATTTGTGAAAAATAGCAATTTTGTCCCCATTTACCCCAACTGACCCTAATTCGCAAAAAAAGTTTTTTTTAAATGGTAATTATGTAAAATCAAAAATAGTAGGGTCAACCGGGGTAAATCCGAACGCTTTTAGTAAGTTTCAACAATAACATAAGTTTTTTCTTTAAAAAAAAATACTTCCGGTATTCTGGTGCATGAAGTTGTTACTTTACTTCCATAGAACAATTTCATGGGGTAGCAAAAATTTTTGATAAAATACAATCGTAGGAAACTTAGCGTTCGTATTTACCTCGATACTTTGCAACTTTCCTAAAATACCGGGGTAAATACGAACGCCACTGTATTTCAGAAAAATCTTAGGGAAGTGAGTTTTGGAGTGATTGAATGTAAATACAAAAATAAAAGTCAAATTTTTTA